GACGATGAGGCCGCGGGCGCGGGTGCGCTCAACGACATGGAGGACGCGGAGGCGACCAAGGCAAAGGTCGAGAAGATGCAGCTGGGCGCCGTCAAGGACGTCCGCAGCGTGGCCAGCTTGATGCAGACGCTGGAGCCCGTTCTCGAGGTTAGTAGATGCCCTACAATCAACCCCATACACCTCTTCTCCCCCTACTCTCTCTCTCTCTGGGATGGCTCGTTTACATCGCTTTTTCGAGATGAGCAATTAGCCCTGACGTGTTGGCTCGACTCCTGCAGAAAATCAACCACTACCGATCGCAGCCCACGGCGCAGCAGACGGGCGTCGGCAACATCGAGGACCACCCCGAGTACCACCTGTTGACGCAGTCCAACAGCCTTTCGACCATGATCGACGGCGAGGTCGCGCTGGTGCACAAGTTCATCCGCGACCACTACTCAACACGGTTCCCCGAACTGGAGCGCCTCGTCACGACGCCGCTGGAATACGCAAAGGTGGTGGCCATTATCGGCAACGGCCCGATGGACGCAGAGAACATCAAGGCGCTCCAGACCTCCACAGACAACCCCCTGGGTGTCGGATTGAAAGCCGTCCTCGACGGGCCGTCACTCATGATTGTGACGGTAGAAGCCACAACCTCCAAGGGCCGTGAGATGGCGCCCGAAGAGCTGCAGCGAGTGCGCCAGGCCTGCGAAATGATGATTGCCCTGCACCGGGCGAAGCAGACCCTCACCGAATACGTGCAGTCGCGCATGAACATCTTTGCTCCTAACCTGACAGTCCTCATCGGATCCCTCACGGCCGCGCAACTCTTGAACGCCGCCGGTGGCTTGACGGGCCTCTCCAAGACACCAGCGTGCAATATCCCCTCCTGGGGCTCCAAGAAACGGCAGGCCGGCCTGGCCACCAACATTGGCATCCGCCAGCAAGGCTACCTCTACAATTCCGACATCATCCGCGGCATCCCCAGCGACCTGAAGAAGCAGGCGATGAGAATCGTGGCCGCCAAACTCGTCCTCGCCGCGCGAGTAGACCGCATCCACTCGAGCCCCGACGGCTCAACAGGAGAGCAGCTCAAGTCCGCCTGCCTGGAGAGGCTGGAGAAGCTGACGGAACCCCCGCCGAACAAGGGCCAGCGAGCGCTGCCGGTGCCGGACGACAAGCCCGCCCGAAAGCGCGGCGGCCGCCGCGCCAGGAAGGCCAAGGAGGCGCTCGCCATGACGGAGCTGCGCAAGGCGCAGAACCGCATGGCGTTTGGCAAGGAGGAAAAGGAGGTGGGCTACGGCACGGGTGAGGGCACCGTGGGCATGGGCATGATCG